TTTTTTCAGTTCACAGCCCCTGAAGAAAATTATCAGTAGAAAAGAGATTTATTTTTAAAGCTGCTGTTTTCTTCCCCTTTCTTTCTAATGGCAGGGGTAATATTTAAGTTGAAATAAGGGTTGAAATAAGACGTTTTCGAATATAAATGTTGTGCTTAGAAGTGAACTTTAGATTGAAAACTGGAATATTTTTTATTGTTATGAATTTAAAGTCTATAATATGGTTTATACTTGAAAGTTACAGAGAAGATAGATTGCTTATTATTCTAGTTTTCTAGGTCATGCTAGCATTTCTATTATAAGATCAGAGTTTTCTATATAATACGAAGACAAAGAATAATTTTATATGTAAACACGCACATATTCATAAGGAGGAAACAATTCAAAAGTTGCCACTTCAACTGAGCTTTCCTAATGGATAAGAGATAAAATTTTTGAGGGTCAGAATTGCGTTTAAGAAAGTAAGAAGTAAACTTATATTCCTAAACATAATCCTATGCCAAAATCCGAATATAAACAAAATCATTGTTACCAGGTTCCCACACTTGAATATCAAGCAGTGCCCAAAAAAGAGCCAATCCACAATCTAAGACCATCAATCTGATAGCAGTTTACTATCAAAATGTATTCTATTTTTCAGCTAGTACTTTAAAAATAAAAAGTAAATATAATTGGAACTTTAATAAGAATCCTAAATTGAGCAGGATATCACAAGATACAAAGGGATAATGACAGTTTCCAAGTAAATTATTTTAGAGGAATCTGTGAATCTCCAACTAGAGAAGCAGCTTTCTTAAATATTCATTCAACAGACTATTTACAGGCAGTGATTAGTTGAATAAAAGCCTCTTTGGTGCCATTAACAGTCTTCTGAACTGAAAGATATGCTATTGACCTAAATTATTTCCTCCCACCAAAAAGACAGAGGTTGTATTTGTTCCTTGTTTATTTAGCACAGGCATTCGACTAAAAAAAAAAAAAAATGTGAGCTTGTCTTAACAATTAAGGCAAGTCTATACTCAGTGAAACAACCAGAATATGGCCCATGTAATGGTTCATGTGGATGCAAAATGACAGCATTTAGTTAAAGCACATATAACAATAGATTATATTAACTAGCCAAGGGAAGCAAAATTGTTTTGGTCATGACTGGCTTCAACTGATCTACCAAATCCAGACCATACCTGGAAGGGACCTGTGAAAGAAAGTATCTGAAAATGGTAAAAGTGAACTACTTGTGACGCACAGCAAACCAACAAATCTATGCATACATGTAGTTGGTATCACTATTGATATTTTAAATGATTTCCTACTGAGGTTTTTTAAATCAATAATACCTCTCAGTGGCTCACCTCTCCCCATAAACATAATTTTACAGACTTTAAATTCTCAACTTCAAAGATTGATAGTTTAAAAATAAATCAATTTCTTAACATTCTAATAGACATTGGCATTTTGCAAACTAATCTTAGAAATTTGGTGGATAACTTCTCCTTATAAGTGCTGTTAGGTGCATACAATATCCCCCCTAAATCATTGATATACTGTGACTGTTTCGGGATTATGAATCAGTGAAGACAATGTTTGCAATATTAACAAACTTGGTTTTTCCAACCCTGAAAATATATGATACTTTTCTGAAAATATAGACTCTTCCAGGTTATTTGTGACCAAATTATCCACATGTACCAATAACTGTAGATGAAGTCCATAACCACACTTTCTTTTTTTTAAGAGAGATTTTTGCTATAGGGCGCGTGTGCTCACCAGAGAGACAGAGAGAGAGAAAGTGATAAATCACTCCCCAAGGGGATGGTCACACCACAGTCCCTTCTCCTCCATTCTCCTCTCTGGATTGTGGGCACACATGATAGGCATGAGTTTTAAGCTGCCAGGTCCAGGACTCGAACTACAGTTAACTACATGGGAGTCCAGCGATACAACCATTATACCAACCCCGCAGTTTCTTTAAAAAAAAAAAAGTTTAAGTAATTATTTTATTTAACTTTATTTACTTATTTATTTATTTTAATTTGACCAGAGAGGGACAAAGTGGAAGAAAGAGAGAAAGAGAGAGCAAGCTGCCAGGTCCAGGACTCGAACCATGGTGAGCTATGTGGGACTCCAGCATCCTTAACCACCATGCCAACCTGCCAGCCCCAATCCCCACACTTTCTATATTGAGTAAAAATGGTTAACACATGGAAGGTTCTTTTCCAGCCTTCTATTTAAAGTTTACTCATCAATGGTATTTATTCAAGGTACTGTTCCCTTTAACATTTACACAACTTACTATTTCCTATTATCATACTTTAAGAAGGAAAACCTAAGCAATCATTTTCATCATTATCTTATGATTTCCTTTATATTCTCTTATTCCACGCTAAATTTAGCCAAGTTAATTACACAATCAAAGACTATTTGTTTTGGCAACAAGTTTTGACCACAGATCTATGTATAGCTTCTCTGTCTCACTTTAATGTCCTCACCCAGGAACCTAGCAGCATGATGGACATCTCTTATTGAGCTTGTATCTTGTTTGATTTTCAGAGCCCATACAAAATAATGAATGCTAGTGTCAATGGGGAAAATGTACAATTTATGTTTAAATTTAACTAATTCTCTTATGTTTTACATGTGACTATAAAACATTTTCCATCAGGTTTTCTAGCCTTTAACTTTGTTTTTACTTCAAGATGAAAGTTTTGACTACCTGTAAGAACAGTAGAGGTTACAATCATATCTACTTTAAATGAGGGAACATTTTTAATCAGTGTATCCATATAATGAAAAAATAAGCATAAAAAAGTATGACACACGCAAAGCACATCTAAAGGCTAATGAGAAACAGAAAGCAGAATGGAAACTTTGGCTACACACAGGTAAACAGCCATACGTTTATGTATAATTGATACAAATTTTATTGTGATCATTAAAAGGTCAAATAATTGAAGTACTGTCTGTCACTGAATACTATCCCTCTCACCTTCAAAAAGAAATTACATAAACAATCTACATGATTTTAATGATAGAAAACACAGTATTCATTAATGTCTCCCTAAGGTGAGAAAACTTCAAAACATGTTTGTCAACAGGCTTTCTTCCATCATAATATCTGGTCCATGAAAAATATAACTCAAAAAAATATATAATCTTGGAATTCTTATGAAAGTACTGAGCGTAGGTCAGGATTTCATATGTACGCTGAGTGAAACAAGTAAGGACCATAGACTAAATAGTATAGATTTGAAACTAATGTCTTAAACATGGAATTTTCATGTCTTTTAAGAAACATTCAATTTCCACCTTTTGAGTAAAGCAATTCAAGTAAGCTCATCTATTATTTACCTAAATTTTTCCAATTTATTCTGAAAAATAAGTATATGATTTCAAGTACATATTTGTTGGGCCAATTGAAAAGGAAACAATATGAGAATAAATGAAAACAAGTTCTGCATAAAGATCAAGTAAAAATCAAAAGGTCAAGGCTTCATATAATTTTCATTAAATTCAGCCCCCTTACACAAAACATTAACAACAAATGAGCCAGAGATACTAACAAAATGTTATCATTGAAATACCACATGATTATTCATGTATTATTATCTGTACTTTACACTGAGATTTAGTTTTATAGATTTACTAGTGTATTTGCCTGTAGGTATTTGAAAAATAACAGTGAATGTACACTCTGTATTTCCTAAAATGTTTTACTGTGAACAATAACTTGAGTACAAAAATGAGAAGAGATTCATCAGAATTTCAAAGTAAAACCCTATGCATCACCTAATTCTATTGAAAACGACGCTCATGGCAAATTTCACTTATCACTTGAAACATATTTCTGCCCTTGGATACCAGAAGCAAATTAAAAAACATGCTGTTGCTCAGCTCTGGCAGAGCTGCAATGCGTTATGTTTAAATAGTTCAGCATTCAGATTTGGCTTGCTTAAAGTACAATATAGAATCAATACAATCATAGAATTCAGGGTAAAATGCATTATCAATTGCCACTGAAATTACTGTACTGAAATAGCATTTACAGGACAGCCAAATATCTTTAGAATATATTTTTCCAGTTAACTGTTTTCTTCAGTGGTCAACATCTTAAATTTAAAATACGTACGTTTTAAACATCTACGTGTATATACAAATGCATATGTGAAATATAAATACACACACACAAAAGTCACTCTGTGTGTGTGTGTGTATATACACATGGTGATTTTATGAACAGTAGATATGAAAAGTTTTTTCTTCACAGAAATGTAAAAGATGCATTTCGCCATTTTAAAAATAAATTTTTACCAAAAAAAAAAAAAAAATGAAGGCTATTTTGGAAGCACCTTAACAAGCAAACAAAGCAACTACTACATTAAAACACTAAGTTTTTCCTGTTGCTAACAAGTCCTTTCAGCGAACCCCACTTTTAAATCTTGAGACTCACAGATTTGATTAAAGCTACAGTTAAATGCCATCCTTTATATTAAGTAAAGCTGTACAATAACAATTATAATAAGGCAGCTTACAGAGTTTGCATTATATAAAATAACAAAAAAAAGGCGAACAAAACTGCAAATGAAAAATATTGCTACAAATTCCATGCAAGCAGACAACAGACATGTAGCTTTAATGAAAACTTAAAGCTGTGACTATGCTGTTTGTGTCTTTCTCAAAATCCAAAATTTTGATCTAACAAATTGAATAGTAAAGTGGAATATCTGCAAAATGCTGTCAATTTTTAGTAAGTGGACAAAATCTTTACCCCAAATTCACTGAATTTCTTCACAGCCTTCTATCCTCTGTCTTGTTTATAATAACAGAAGTATCTGATTTCTAATGAACAGTTTGGAAATACCCACTAAATGTGTACAAATATATACATAAATTGTTCTCAGAATAGTCTGCATGAGTGCACTAAGGCAATAATGTAAAGATCTGAGGTTTATTTTTAAGCAGATAATGCTAAGCTCATTCTGTTGGTGCCAGGAAAGACTTACAGATTTGGCAGTAGCAGAAATGTACTGGCCAACCATCTCACGCTTGGTGGTGAAATCTTTGTTTCGCAAAGGAGCTTTTTTCTCTTCATTAAGGTTCATGTCCTCCTGTTAGGAAAAAAAAAATTGAAGGAACTAGAAGCATTGATCATTTTTTTTAAAAAAGAGAGATTTTTTTCCTACAGCAAAAATAGGGTGCATGTGCTCACCAGTGAGACAGAAAGAGACAGAGAGACAAAAAGGAAGAAATCACATCCCAGGGGGAGTTGGCCACACCGCAATCCCTTCTCCTCCATTTTTCTCTCAGGATTTTGGGCACGCACGCATGCATATGCACCCGGCATGAGTTTAAGCCACCAGACCCAAGACTTGAGCCGCAGTCAACTACGAGTCCAGCAATGTAACCATTACGCCATCTGCTGGTCCTAAATTTCTGATTTCTATCTCTTGAAATATTCAGTCATCCTCTGACTTACAACAATCATTCTTTTTGGGGGGGAATATCTCACTGTTATTTTTCACTATAGATACCGTGATCTTGTGTCAATTTTACTGTGTATTCATGGGTCATATCTCTACCTAGCCAATTAATGAGCAGAAAGAAAAAATATTTTAAACTAGTCCACTGAATAGATTGGCAGTTTATAGCATAGCTATGCATTATGCAACCCTAGCAAGGCTATTTATTGTACTTACTTTGATAGCAAACACACACACACACACACACACACACACACACACACACACACATATCTCTCTGAGACATATCTCTCTATGTGC